TGGTCTCAGACCTCTCAGCCCAGCTCTCCAAGGCGGCAGCTGAGTTCTTCATCCAGATAAAGAAGGCTGAAGACAAGTGAAGCATCGGGAATATGCTGGGAGGTCTATGCCTGGAGCTGGTTTAGAGAAGTGAGGGGGAATCTCTGGACCAGGGGTGGTGAGCCTATGACATGCGTGTTGTTTTACTTTTAAGACAAATGATGCTAATGTGTGAGTTTTTCTTTTTTCTGAACTGAAAGCTCAGCATTCCAGTGTAATTGCAGTGTTGGCACTTCATGATAAATACGTGGGTTTTGGGTTGCAGTCTGGGGACTCGTCCCTAAAGGTTCACCACCACTGCTCGACACTGTGACTCCCTGGCTCAGGGAGAGGGCAGCCCTGGATGACAGTAAGGCAGGAGTGAAAGGGAAAGATGAGCCAAGCAGCTCGGTCCAGACATCCTTTAGTTATGAATAAGAAGGATAAGAAAGGTCACAGAGTCCCTGGAGGGGGAAAGCCAACCCGCTCAGACTGCTGGCTCGAGTGTTCTTCCCTCCGGCATGGGGGATGAAGCTGTCACTAAAGTCACAGTCCCCATTAAACACCTCAAGTTCTCTTAGCAACATCAAGTGTCGGGAGATTAGAAAACACCATCAAAGGCACTGGACTTCCACAGTGCTGGAGCTGGGACCCAGGAAAGGGAGCAATTTGCCCCCAAAGCCTTGGGAACTTGCCCAAAATTATTGCTACTAAAGTCATAAACTTGCGGGTTAGGTATTTCTGCAGCTCATCTCCTTTTGTACTTCAAATCTACTTCTGTGCAGTTAGTCTCAGGAACGGCCAACTCTTGAGGAAGCCATTGTTCCTTTTTTTCACCCTCCTATTTGTTCCAGAAAGGAATTGTAGCAATCATGTAGACTTATGTAAAATATAGCCTGATCACATGGGAGCAAGACAGGATGGGAAGGAAGATGGGGAAAGAGGCGCAAGCCAAGGAAGAACTTGTGGAGCCCCAGTATGGACAGAAGGACTCACTAGAGCAGTCCTTTGTTCCTGTAATGTGTAGACACAAGCTTCAATTCAGTTATCCAGTAGCAAAACTTAATAAAGAAACCTGGTTACTAATAGCATTCAGTGTCCAGACAATAAAAAGAGCTCACAGCTCAGAACTAGAAAGCAGGTTCTCATCCTCATCTTAAGAACCTAGCGAAACCTGGGGAACAGCATCCTTACCCAGATGCCAAGCTTGGTTTTCAGTCCAGGTAATTTGTACGATCTCCCTTAGCATGTGAAGCAGTCGCAAAATCGGAGGATCTAAGCCAAGTGCAGGGGCTCAGGTCCCCTTGCCCACCTACCCTCTTCCTGTTCTCCAATTTAGGCATCATTTTCTCTCAGTTCCCTGCGAATCCTGCTCTTGGGCCTCCAGCCCCAGCACCAACAGCACCTCATGTTGACCTCTGTCTTACACAAGAAACAGGGGAGATGGCTCAGTGGCCCAGCATCTGCCTGGCAAGTGCAAAGTCCTGAGCTTGATTCCCAGTACCATAAAAAAGGAGATATATTTATGCGTATTTCAAGATGGCTTGGATAACTGCACTGCTGATTTCTTTTATTTTTTAATGTAGTTAGTACAAGGTCTACAGGGTCTCACTACACAGATCGGACTCATAGTGATCCACCTGTCTTCAGCCTCCCAAGTGCTGGGATTGCAGGC